TTTATTCTCTTCACTGGATCATAATTAAATATGTTATTCTCTTTGAATTAATGTACCCGCTTTGTGTTAATTTTAGTTTTTATTTCTTATTTTATTTGAATAATAAAATGTTTGGTATGTAGTGAAAATTTATATTCGTTTTATTGTTAAACTAAATAAAATATTCATTCATTCACTCAAGGGTAGTTACTAACTCTAGTTATGGATAACATCAAATGATTTCCCGAGTGAAGTAACAAAGAATAATTTGCTATTGTCTAGTCTATTTCAACACATTACTTAGGATTTCTTAATATCATTCATCTTGGTCAGATTGGCCAACTCGTTAACTTCGTTTTATGAGTATGGTTGCTGTGTTGTCATTTTCCTTTCCTGTTCAAACTTTATCCTTTTGTTTAGAAAATGTTGTGTAAATGTTATCCACACACAGATCTTATATAATAACGGTTCGGGAGCAGCACACAGTAAGAGAAATACAGACTAGTTCATTCGTTTGAGTACACCAAAAAGAGTAGACTGATATACTTCTGCTATCTGAATAGAACTACTATATAAATTGCTTAAATGGTCTTTCAGCTGTATTGAGCTCTGTCTTGTTTTGGCATGAATGTAAATAAGTGATCTTTATACGTGTGAAATACAAAAACTAGAAAAAAATCTCTGGGGTTCTAATGCACGACCTTCCGAAAGCAGGTCTGACTTATTAATCACTATGTCATCACTAGCCGGTAAGTGCAGTAAATGCAACGCGGAACAAAGGGTTCTGGACTAGCAACTTCTGTTAAATTAATTATCCTGTAGTTACTTTAAGTTTATTCGTATGATTTAAAGATCTCTGAGATTTGATACGCTCAAAAGCGTAAAGATCTTGCAGACAGATATTAAAACTTGTTTGCGTCGCGAATTTGCCTGCATCAAATTATATATGACATGGAATGGAACTAATTTGAATTTTTTATTCAATTTATTTAAACCGTGGTATGTAGTGGCTAACGTGGCTTGACAATGGAGTATCTACAAAGTGGACTCCGGCTACCTCACTCACCGGACGAAACGCTTTCATTTCAAGGCGGTCTTCTGTGAGGTCGTGGTACTTTCCCGGTAAAACCTGCGGTAAAACCCAGGTAAAAACAGCATAGTTAAAAATATAAAACTATGGAATAAAGGCGAGTCGTAAGACCTAAAAGGCATAAAGCTTAGTGTTATTTTCTTTAAACTTAGCTTAGTATAGCGCCCGGGTAAGTACCACGACGCATCTGCAATACTACGGGTGTGTTGCAAAATGTCATTGAGTGGCGGTTATCTCTTAACATCAGGTTAACCGCCAGCTCCATTGCCACCGACCCACATAAAAAAAATGCTAAACGTGATAGAGAAGGTCAATAACGCAGGTGATGAACTGATGAGTTTATTAATGAGCATCATGTCCAATTCAATGTCGAATACGCTGTTCGCTGGTGACTACTCACTTTTTAATTAAATGCAATCGTCTTTAAAATATTAAACCTTCTTCACACGTACCTCTTTCTTTTTAACAGCAACAACAGATCGTGAACGGTTATTCTAATCAAAAGGATTTCGTTAAAATATTGAAACATCGTTATAATATTATAACAATCATCTTTAAAACCTGTTTTACGTCGGCATTCGCATAATTTCAATGTTAAACTTTAACATTGAAAATTCAAAGCCTGTTGTTATATAATGCTGGTAATTGTAAATGCGTTATCTACGTTGTTTCTCATCACGGATAACAGTGTGATTTCTACAGTAAAAATGCCAGCGAAAGGTGCTAATTTACCCTTCAGAACTATTGCTATCGTAGTTTTGGCAATGATATTATTAATCTCTCCCACCTCAATTTTACAATGAGCCAAGCATTACTTCAAATGCTAAAAAACAATGAGATGATGAGATAAATGACGTTGAGAATTTCGTCGACGGGAGTGTTAGGGCGCGAATCCCGAAGACGTGGGTTCGATTCCCACAGCGGCGAAAAACTTTTCTACAAATTTTAATAACGTTCCTTTTTTCTACAAATTTTAATAGTATTAATGACGTTAAAGATATAAAGTGATCTAGGTAACTATGGACCAATCAGTATTATGTCAAATTTGTATAAATTTTTTTCAAAGATAAAGTAAATAGAACATTAAATAATCTAAATGAACAACCACCGTGCGGGCAACAGTTTCCGGAAAAGCTACTCGACTATAGATAAAGCAAAAGAGTATGGAAAGATGCTATTTCTGTGTTTTATAGATTATACGAAAGCATTTGACTCACTACATTTCGAATCTATATGGACATCACTTAGATCACAAGTTCTTAACCACAAGTATATCAACCTGATCATGAGTATACATATATACAAAAGGTGTTGCCAAAGGGCGTCTGGAACGTGAAGGTACAGAGTTTCCCATACAAAAAGGGGTAAGGCAGGGTGATCCCCTCTCCCTGAAATTGTTCGCAGCAGTGCTAGAATCTATTTTCAGACATCTAGATTTCGAAACGAAGGGGATAAGGATAGATGGAGAACTACTGGACCACTTGCGTTTCGCAGACGACATAGTGGTCTTCACAGAAAGTACCACTGAATTGGAGAGGATGATGACCGAACTTCTAATAGGAAGTCAAAAGGTGGGACTGTCAGTGAACACGACAAAAACCAAGATTTTAACTAATGGAATCCATCAGGACATCACGATAACAAATGAAAAGATTGACTATGTGAAAGAGTATACATATATAGGACAACTAGTATCATTTCAAAACAATATGGGAAAAGAAATAGAAAGAAGGACAACTCTAGCCGGGAGGAATTGAAAGAACTTATGAAAAACAGCGAAATTAATATAAGTATAAAGAAAAAACTTTACGAAGTAGTGGTATTGCCATGCCTGACATATGGTTGTCAGACGTGGTCATTGCGAAAAAAATATGAAGAGAGAATAGGCATTTGCCAACGTAAAATGGAAAGGAGCATGCTCGGTCTAAAACTATCAGATAAGGTCAGCAATATCAAAATCAGAAAAAAAAACTAAAATTAACATCGACGCAACTACTGTTTAATCATATTTAATCACACAAAAAATATACATAAAAAAAGTTTAAATTTGTAGGAGTAGTAATAAAGGCTATTTTTATTTAATGACGTTAAATTTTTTCGTTTAAACAAATTCACCTCTAAAGTGGAGTTTTTTCTTTAAAAACATCAGTTCATAATGTTCATATTACCGTCCGTTCTTATTACGAATCTATAATTACTGCGATGTGTTGGAGAAGGTCAAGATTTACTTAAAATATTTCATTATATTAATACGTATACATACATTGAAACAAACATTTATAATGTTAATTTTTATTTTCATGTCGGTGCAAAACTGGTTTCTTCCTCTTCCTTTTTCTACCAGGGACAAAATGGTGTCTCTTTTGTAAATCGTCATATTTATCCACGTTAATTATTATAAATAATCACATTTATATAGCAAGGCTTGTTTATAACATACATAAATACAAAGTTACACACAGATGAAGCTGAACTTTATATTTACTACGAGTACGTACCTACGTACCTACGAGTACGAATACGTAATACGTATAATATACGTACAACGTACGTACGTACGTGTTTTTAAATAATGAATAACCTTTTTTAAAGATTTTTATAGTGCTAATCTCTGCACTTAAGATTGAACATTAAAACATGTAGAAAAAGTACGAAAAGATTGTCGCCGCTGTGGGAATCGAACCCACGTCTTCGGCATTTGCGGCCTGACGCTCTAACCACTGAGCTAAACGGCTGATAGCCAAAATTTATATGTTCATACGTTGTCGAAAAAGATCCGCATGACTCGCAAAGCCGAAAAATATCTTTTTATCTCGAGTGTATTTAATAAAAAGCTAGTGCCCGGACAATGAGCTATCACGGCTCATAAAGTCGTTATGTAAGACGAAGTTTCTAGCGGCTCCTTGTGGCATAGCAGCGAAATTGAAATTAATTGATTATTTATGGTGACGTTTAGATAAAATGGGGTTGTGGACTGACTCGACGGTTCATTATATCTGTTACGTAAAAATTATTAGTTATTGACTCTCCCTGGTCGTAGACGACGAGGGGAGGGGATGTCATTATCATTGGTGAGATATGGGAAAGGACAAAGAGCAATTTATTGTCTGCATTACGAGTAGTAAGATTGGAACTACGGTGTTGCCAGAATGCGGGTAGAATTATAAACAAATATTGAGGGAATATTTTAAGTTAAACCTGAAGAATAAGACGAAATAAAAACTTGCTTGAAAAGGCTGATCAAGGCTCATTTATTTATATTTATTTGCTATTCAATAACCATTAAACGTTTATAGATATTAAAGAAATATGCTGTTGTGTATTTGTAAATAGGAACAAAAATTTAGTGAGGAAATGGAGACTTGGTAGATGTCATTTATTTCGTTATTATTTAATATTGTAATTATTATATTTTTGTCCAATAAATATGTAGTTTGATTAATAAAAACATAATTTAGAAAAGGTTTAAAATTAAGGTCTAAAGTTTAGTTATAAAATATTATTTTATCATAGTTTAGTGATAAAGTTATACGCGATAACCAAACCTACGAAATATTGTCTGCATGTTCATTATCATTTTCTTACTATGTAATTATAACCATACACGTATTTTTATGTTAATAATTATTAATTAACCATTTATTAAGTATTTTTGTAGCAATATTTGTATAATTATTAAGTCACGAGATTTATAATCGTTTTGGGGAGAAAGTTTCACACGTTTGCCACCCAGGGGCAGCACTCGTCTACCGTCAACGCGTCAATTTACAGTCATAGTCGCCCAAATCGTCCCGGGCGTCTATTTAGTGTTGTAACTGTTAATTAAGTCATAGTTTTAATTTAATTTTAATATTTAAAAAAAATCACCAAATGTGATTTGAGCACTTTAGATTAAATTATAACATAATATATACTCAAAGAGTCTTAAAAGATGGAAGAACTATGGAAGGACAGCAATATACTTTACAACATCCTCTGTTTCCTTATAACGGAAAATGAAAAGCTTTTCGACAGGAGCGACTCGAGATTATATTGGAAAACCGTCTTCCACGCGTTCTCTATCGTTCACCACGTGTACATATCTTTGTTCTCGTTAAACTTGGAGTTGGAGAACCATCCTCATGTGGAGGTACAGGCCCTTTACACCTTCAGGGCGGCCTATCTGACCGGATGGAATTTCGTGAGTACCCGCATTTGACACACGAGACTTGAAAAGGAAGCCATAATTATTTATTTGAAATAATAAGGTAATACATTAAATGAAGCCATATTTATTTATTTATTTGCAAGAATAAGGTAACACAATATAATGGTCTTAAATCTAATACACAAGTTCGCTTATTCTGCCTCTTTGATAGGCGTGCAAATTTTAATGAGGCGGTTATATTCTAAGTATTCTCTTCGAATATTTTTTAGAAAGATGAAAGATAACATAACGTTGTTGATATTTCGGATATATGAAAGACAGTTGTGTTAATAAGGGACATACAACATCCTAGTCAAAACCGAACAAACGTAGGGCTGCGAAAAATTGAAGATTAACTCTTCAATGGTTTCTTTTTTGTATAGTAGAATAGTTTTAGAGATGTGAATATCACGATATATCATTTGAGTGTGTCAATTACTAGTGTACGAATAAAATAGGAAATGCAATTGAAGAATGCATTATTTGCTTCTTCTAGCTTCTAGTACTTTTTATTGTAATGGCACATTTTGATATGCATTTTAAGGGAACACAGTTTAGCTCTCGTTAACAGAAAATACCGTTGTAAGTGTATATAACGTTGGAGTCATAGACTACAGTCGAAGAATATGGAAAGATTTGCTTGGAATAATCGCGGTAAAGAATTAAAATCGGGACACAGATAATTGATCTGATTCCCATGTGTTGTATGAATGAACAGTCGATTAATTAACCAAGATCGGGGGATTAACGAGCGTAACTGAATAATATAATTGCCTTATTCGTAATAGATAACAAAAGCCGCCAGCTAAAACATAACGTTGCCAATATAACAAAGACATATTTGTTTAATTGACTTTTTGCAATGGGTTAATCTTTAAACAAACGAAACGATTCACTTTATTCTCATTAATGACAAGATTCATTACTCCGGCCTTCCGTAATATAAGCTTCCTCTAAATTAAAGTGAGTATTTAGGTAAAACACACATTTATGTTCGCAATCGAGTTATAAAACAGTGAACATATTTGGGGCTTGCTACACGGCAGTTCATTCTATCCGTCAATTTATTTAATTTGCCTTATTGTGTTAGTAGTTGTTTTCATTACGTTTTTGACTAAGTATTAACCTGTAATGCAATCAAACGTATCAACCTGAGAAGTCCAAAATACTTATTAATAAAACATTTCAATGCATAAATACTTCGCGCAGTGTATTTATTCATTTGCAATTTTTCAGTAATAAACCTGTCAAGTAATAAAGAAAATAATGAAGAAAGTGTGATGGCACCGAAAAGAGATTAGGCGCGAAAAAAAAAATATCGAACATCTTCCAAGTGTATAGGTATTGCCTAAATTGTTGTTGAGTGTACTTCGGATACGCTTACTTGAAAACGTTCAGGCAAAAGCCATTTACGTTATCTATACCCATAAAATCATTGAGCACTGTAACTGATAGCTCATTGTCGCGTTCGATTTTATTCCTTGTTTTGTATTTTGATGATACGTGAAGTCTGACAATCCGCAGTGGGGTTTCGGGGTCGACTACACCCGTAATACCCTATGTATATAGGAGGCCTTTACCCAGCTGTGGGACATGTGTAGGCTGATACTTTACTTTTACTGTTATTTGCTCACCATTTGCTATGCTCTCCGATTAATCTATGAAACGTCGAAATTGCATCATAATCTAATCTCGTCATCTTTCTTGCTGTATGTAGCATATATTGTAATAGTGATAATTTATGAAGTTATAGACAACAGCTTTCGTTTCTATGTGACGCTTACACTTACACTTAATTTGCACAACACATTTAAACATTTCGTTAAACGCCACCTCGTGCAATTCGCCGAAAATGGTCATCTTAAAGATATCAGCTATACGCAATCGCTATTTACTTGCAATACACCGGTGTTTTTAAGTAATTGCATAATGTGTTTGCTGGATTACATGTTTTTTGAAATCTTATGAAAAAGAGAGTACCGGAAATTGCGAAAGCTATTATTTTTGGTAGGGCCACGTCTCAAGGGCCAAGTCTCGGCTGTTGCACGAATGGGCAGGCCCGTCCGGGTAAGTACCTCAAACTCACAGAAGACCAGCGTAAAGTGGAAGTATGACAAATACTTTCGCGTTTCGTTTGGTGAGTGAGGTAGCCGGAGCCCAATTTTAAAAAGGTTGTCAACGCATCTGTAACCCTCGGGTGTTGCAGATGTCCATGGGCGGCGGTATTCACTCACCATCAGGTGAACCGTCTGCTCGTTTGGCAACTTTTGACATAACAAAATAATAAAAATAATAACAAATACGATATATACGATTTATTAGTATAAAAGGCTACTTTTTGTGACACTTCTAGATAATGGTGGTAAAAATAAAGGTTTGTATGTCGGGACGTGGCACGCGCGCTGGCCGTTCACCTGACGTTAAACGACCATATACCCGTAACTATATGATGCTTTACCAACCTTTAAAAGAGGGCTCCGGTTACCTACCTAGCTAACTATGATAGGGCCATGCAACAGTCTTAGCTGTCAAGGTAGGTACGTCCGGGTTTGTATCAGTATCTCACAATAGACCAGCGTTAAGTGGAAGTGTTACACTTCTGCGTGTCGTCTGGTGAGTGAGGTAGCCGGGGCTCACTTTATTAAAATGTGGCAACGCACTGCAACTACGGGTGATGAAAATGTCAATGGGCGGCGGTCATCACTTAACACCAGGTGAACCACCAGCGCGCTTGCCACCATATCAACCTAACTCACCAGAACTCAAAAGTACGTCTACTCCACGCTGATGTTCTGTGAGGCCGTGGTAGTGCGTGACAGTAAAAGCTGCGGCTTCACCCATCTGCAGCAATTGCTCTCATATTAGCTTCTGGTGACCATTATAACCCAAACTCTGTCCAAAGTCAGAGGCATCAATTTAGGTCAAGTGTTTATTTAATGTATGTATTTGATCACGTTAATTATAAATGAAGTAATAATATAAACGGTATAAAGTTTAAAAGTGCCACTTTTGCAACTTTCGTAAGCTTACAGTGTTGGGCTGTTTTACCGTTCAAAAATCTTATTAAAATGCTGTGGAGAAACCGTAAGGTACAATGATATAAAATCAGTTAAACTTTACTTGCTTGCGAACCGATGGAAAAAAAACTATTTTTGCGCACTATGCACGTTTAAACTTTTTTTTTTCAACTTTGTGCGTATGTAAAAACTAAAGGCCAGCATTAAAAGTTAACAGGAAGCTAAGTTATGACTGAATTAATTCGAGTGCTTATAAAGTCCTTAAAACTGGTTTTTAGTCTCTTACTTGGAAATGAAATTCAATATAATCTTTTGTGCTAACACTATTTTTCATGAGAATAAAATTTAGATCATTGGCAATATCTTAAAAATGTATTGGTTCAATATTTAAGAAGTATTTGAAATACCATTCTACTGCTTATTTTAGGCTCTAACATAAATATGTACATACATTTCAATCATGTTTTATGTCGGATATATTTCGGAGGAGATAACTAAATGGTTTGGAATGTCATAATTGTAAAGTCTTAAAATGTAGCATTGATTTGGACTCGCACCACGCCACGATGGCTCGGTGGCGCCGTTGCTCCGTTTCGGCTTCAGGGGTCGAGGATTCGATTTCCGCACGGGAGAAGTATTTGTGTTACCCACAGATAATTGTTCCGGATCTGGGAGTTTGTTTCCTGGACTTCAAAAAGATGGCCAAAACCGCTTACAACTTGTTTCACGTGAGCCCACCTAGGTGGGATAAGGGCAGTGGGATAACGATGATTTGGAGTTACTCTAGGCATTCTTGATCAACGCAGCAACAAATATTGATATGGACTTTGTTCGTACTGCTATAAACGGCTGGTGCGGGTTGTGAAAGTCAAAGTCAGAATTTCTTTATTCAATATAGGCTTATTTTAAGCTCTTATTGTACGTCAAAAAACCACCGGTTACTAAGTAAGCCAGGGGACTTGCAAGTGGAGAGCAATTGTCCTCAATGTATTCCATTAGGGCCTTAGGCCCTTTCCATTAAGGTAGCTTCTACAAAATGTTTGAAATTATTTACACTTCATTGTTTGTAGAATTGTTGTTGAAGACTTGTATTCGAAATCGCGTGGAATAATCTTAATAAGCTCAGTTATCAGAATCCATGTTTCAGTAAGTTTCTTTTGGTATAAAAATGGTTAATGTTAAAACAAACATGTGTCAATTGTTTCATAATAAACGCGTGACAGAAGTTATGACCCGAGTACAGTTCGTGTATCTATCTATAGAAAGATGTCAAAGAGCAGACCGTTAACCAAACGTGTCCGACGCATGCTTCTATTATCAGTTAATTAGTAAATATAATAAATTTCAACACAGCAATGATAAGTGCAGTGCCACAGTGTAATGTTGCTCGCAGACGCTTCCTATGATTTTTTTATTTGGGACACATCCTGTTTGATTCGTAGGGAGGATACGTATTTCCTTTTACAATATTCACAGAAGTTGGAATATTGATGATGCCTATTTGCCTTGACAGTTTATCTCGTATTTGAACCACCTTAATTCTTATTTAAGTGTAAAGTCATCCGCGTCTTCTACTAAATTCCTCATAATATAATGAAATGGTGAAGATAAAAAGAGTGGTAGTAAATTGAAAAGTATGCTATAGGACAGACTTCGAATAAAGGACGTATTTGATGGAATGTACGAGTATCAAGCAAAGTGCTATTGATTCTTCTTATTATTATATATGAAGTAAAATGACTAATATCAAATACAACCATACCGAAGGGTTACCATCTAAGGTTGTCGCTGCATCCGGAACCCTCGGGTGTAGCGGGTGTCCATAGGCGGCAGTATTCATTTAACATCAGGTGAACCGTCTGCTCGCTAGACAACTTTTCACAAATGATTTTTTATACAATCTTATCTATCAATAATTACAATATTTAAACCATTTTTATAACTTCACAGTTATATATATCTTATCTTATCTTATATTATATATCTTACATAGAATCTTAATATTACATATTATTTATTATATTAAATAATATGTAATATTAAGATTATGTTATATATTATTATAAAGATTGTATTATAGTTAATTAGTGTAACAATATTAAGTTTATCATCTCTAATATCCCATTATTATAAATAATAATCTAAGTATATGAGGTTAAATTTGAAGTTTTCACTCAATTCACCTAGTAATAAACAATTCAAATAGACTTATTGGCATGTTATCAACATTCACAGTTCATTTCATTGCTCTCATTGTATGCCTAATTAGCTGTGCAATGATCTGAGTCTATAAGAGTACTTCTAGGAATCTATACACGGACTATATTTACTATGCTGATTCTACTACTAATCTTTTCGCCGAAGCCCTAGTTTCGCACATATGTTTTGTGCACATATCTCTTCTTTATTTTTAGATATATATTATTATACACTACTTAGTTGACACTTACATTACCTATATTTTGACACTTACACTTACATTACAATTCACTCAGAATGTTTATAATCCTTTTTTTATGCGAAAAGTTGTTTTTTTATGCAAACGAGCAGACGGTTCACCTGATGTTAAGTGAAAACCGCCGCGTGGACATCTGCCACACCCGAGGGTAACATATGCGTTGACAACCTTCAAAATTGGGCTACCTCACTCACCAGACGAAACGCGAAAGTATTTGTCATACTTCCACTTTACGCTGGTCTTCTGTTAGGTCATGTACTTACCCGGACGGGCCTGCCCATTCGTGCAACAGCCGAGGCTGCTGCGTGGCCCTACCACCGTTTATGTATATATATTATAACCTATGTGTTATTCTGATATATAAGCTACATTATTGTAAAGTTTCATTAAAATCTATTTAGTAGTTTTCGTATGAAAGAGTAACAAACATCCATCAAATACATACAAAGTTTCGCCTTTATAATATTATATAAGTAAGCAAGTAAGGATTTTAACGGTCGTTGCTATTTCGTTTCAGGCTTTCCAAACTCTATTCCTGACACTGTCGCTGGCGAACGACGTGCTGGAATGGTTTGACAAACACGAGAACCATTTGGCGGAGCGTCTGCGGTACTGGCGCGACGTCATCTTCTCCGGGCTGGTGGTCCCGTTCACCCTGGTATGTGGCCGTCACGCCCCGGCTTTGCATGGGGGCAATGTGTAAAAATCTTCCTCTCTAATGACACTATCTATAGCTGAAAACTGCTTTAAAATCCGTTACGTAGTACGTAGTTTACAAGATGTAAGCGTTTTTGCGCAGCGACTTTGGTTTCATACTTTACTAGCGACCCACCCTTGAATCACTCTATCTAGTAAAAAAAAGTTAAAGATAATCATTGCGTAACTTTTATATCATGAACTACATAAATATTTCAATTGGAACTTAACAGCTGGTGTGTTAACGATCTAACCCTTATATACAATGGGGAATAAAGATGAAGGTCTTGGTCAATTCGAGTTCCAACGAGATAATTAAAAAGTGGGTACGTCACTAGGATTCCAATGTTAGTCTTCAGATGGCAATGTTGCCAGCATCTAGCCAGACAACTCTCTGCGTGCCTTATTTTATCGATATCAATAAATATACCGTCAGCCCGTTGGCCACCATCACACATAAAAAGTAATACTTTGTATGACTTTTCAGAAATACGGACGTAATTTCGTCATTTTCTTTGTTCTTTCAATTCTTTTTTTTATTAGTTTTCTCTTCTTAACTCCTTAAATATAAATATATAATGCTAATGGTTCGATGAACACAAATGAACACAAAAAAATTTAAATTGAAAGAAGAAGGTACTGTACCTAATTAAAGTTTCCGTATTAACTAAAATATTCAATATCTCACAGGTTTTTATGGCCAAAACTTTATATTACTTTAATTCATATTTAAATATACGTACAGTGGTTTTCCATTTAAACAAACCGTTTATATTTTTTTTAATAAGAATTGTTATAATTGTAAATTGTTTCGTGGTTATCTACTTATTTTTGCAAACCATAATTAAAGTATTTATTACTTAGTTTATATTTAATAGTAAGCATACGTTTTTGTGTAATTAACTTTATGATAGCCTCATTATTTCTTGTGAGTTAGATATAATGCATGGCTAGGTAGGGCTACTGCCATTGCTAGTAAGCAATAGGGCTCATTTTATTACAATGTTCTTCATCATATCTATTGGTAATTAAGCACTTCATAAGTGATTTTTTTATCGCTCGCAAAGGATTTTCATCAATCAAATCTGCAAATGTGTTAGCCAAGCTCGGAGACCAGCTTTAGTTATCACGGCTCTGTACCTACGGCAAGGGTCTAAAGGCTGGTCAATTTCGACTCAAATGGCTTCCCTCTTCCAGTTCGTCTCTTCAATGTTCTGGTGCGTGTACGCGGTGGACCGCGAGCTCGTCTTCCCCAAAGCGTACGACAACGTGGTGCCCTGGTGGTTCAACCACTGCGTGCACACCAACATTTCCGTGGTGGTGCTGGTGGAGACCCTGCTGCAGGCCAGGCGGCGGCCGCGTGACTTCAAGAAGGAGATCTCATTGGTCATTATAGTGGACATCGCCTACGCCATAGTGTAAGTGCATAGAAAAAAGTAAAGTATCAGCCTATACATGTCCCACTGCTGGGCAAAGGCCTCTGTACAGATGGTATCAGGGCATAGTGCACGCGGCCCCGCGGATTGGCGGACTTCACTTCGCTTTCGAAATACTTTTTTTTTATTAGTTTTCTCTTCTTAACTCCTTAAATATAAATATATAATGCTAATGGTTCGATGAACACAAATGAACACAAAAAAAATTTAAATTGAAAGAAGAAGATACTGTACCTAATTAAAGTTTCCGTATTAACTAAAATATTCAATATCTCACAGGTTTTTATGGCCAAAATTTTATATTACTTTAATTCATATTTAAATATACGTACAGTGGTTTTCCATTTAAACAAACCGTTTATATTTTTTTTAATAAGAATTGTTATAATTGTAAATTGTTTCGTGGTTATCTACTTATTTTTGCAAACCATAATTAAAGTATTTATTACTTAGTTTATATTTAATAGTAAGCATACGTTTTTGTGTAATTAACTTTATGATAGCCTCATTATTTCTTGTGAGTTAGATATAATGCATGGCTAGGTAGGGCTACTGCCATTGCTAGTAAGCAATAGGGCTCATTTTATTACAATGTTCTTCATCATATCTATTGGTAATTAAGCACTTCATAAGTAATTTTTTTATCGCTCGCAAAGGATTTTCATCAACCAAATCTGCAAATGTGTTAGCCAAGCTCCGAGACTAGCTTTAGATATCACGGCTCTGTACCTACGGCAAGGGTCTAAAGGCTGGTCAATTCTGACTCAAATGGCTTCCCTCTTCCAGTTCGTCTCTTCAATGTTCTGGTGCGTGTACGCGGTGGACCGCGAGCTCGTCTTCCCCAAAGCGTACGACAACGTGGTGCCCTGGTGGTTCAACCACTGCGTGCACACCAACATTTCCGTGGTGGTGCTGGTGGAGACCCTGCTGCAGGCCAGGCGGCGGCCGCGCGACTTCAAGAAGGAGATCTCATTGGTCATTATAGTGGACATCGCCTACGCCATAGTGTAAGTGCATAGAAAAAAGTAAAGTATCAGCCTATACATGTCCCACTGCTGGGCAAAGGCCTCTGTACAGATGGTATCAGGGCATAGTGCACGCGGCCCCACTGCGGATTGGCGGACTTCACTTCGCTTTCGAAATACTTTTTTTTTATTATTTTGAAAATATGCAGGTTTCCTCACGATGTTTTCCTTCACCGCCGAGCACGTGATAATTCAGCACTTGAAATTAACAATTTCATTGATGCCGGCACCGGAGATCGAACTCAGATCGAGTAAATTGAATTAAAGGCGAGCGCCCGGGCACTGAGCTATCACGGCTATTTATTATAATATTTTAATAGTTATCAAATATTATAAGGTGACGACGCAACACGGTGTCACAAATGTCACAAAAATCACTTAATATCTACTGAACCGCCATCTCGTTTCCCTCCTTCCAGATGGTTTGTCTGTATTTCTTTATTCCAATTAAAAAAAACCCTGTTAAACATTAGGATTATCTAATAAAGATTTAAAAACTAACAGAAGAAATATTGTGTGGCACAGAACCGATCCACCACACACCACATATTTTTGCATTACAATAAACACGTACTATGTTGATTCAGGATCAAAAATAAATATTAAAAAAAAAACATGCAAAACTTTTATGCTGTTAAACTTTATAGTTCAAGTTGTAAAATAAGTGAATAATAACAAAATTTAAATTTCCAACATTAATCACCTACTACAAAGTAATATAAATTATACGCAGTTTACTTTTTGTAACTTTTTTTTGAGTTCATATCTCGTTAAGTCACGCTATGAAAACGGAAAATACTTTACTTACAAAAACGTGGAAATCTTTATAATATTCACATTAGTCAAATCTTGCATAGACTGAATAACGAAAATAGTTGGAGCTTTATGCGTTAATATTACTATAATAATCATTACATTTTTTTACTATGATGAGGCCATGCAGGAGGTTCTTGATAATAATAATAATAATTACCCACGAATTTACATGCAAAAACCCGCAATTCTAAACACATGCTGCATCGTTAGGAGTTTTTTTTACTGGAGATGTGAGGTCTCACATACCAATTACAGATGAGCCCCACTTGGTTTAGGCCCGTGGTGTTCATTTCTTACGGAATGCTGACCGAACAATAATAATAATCTTTATTTGCCTTTAAACCGAGTGATTAAGGAGTTGGCTTACAATTTTAGCCTTTCAAGTTCAGCCATAATGTAGCATACAATGTTCCGTGTTTGGGGTGGTTCATCCGTGTAAGCGCCACTGTTTCGCTAGACCTTGGTTATGCTGACGGATTCATACTCCGGTATTTGATCTGATGAGTGAGGTAACTGGGGTACTTCAGGACCATCATCAACCAACAAACAAAAATGATACATGAATTTTCTAGGTTACTTTCCTTTGACGACCGTATTGCCTTAGTAGACAGTAAGTACTCTCTTACGCCAGAGGGTTTGGGTTCGATCCCCAGTACTGGAAAAAATATTGTGTGATGAACGCGAGCTTTGCTTTGTTTAGTATTAGATAACGTTGTGAAAAATATGTCCCGAAATATTTACATGTGACAATTGGAGTTAAATGTATATTTACTTTTAATGCTTTCTATTACATTTGTGGAAAATATTCACGATTCGCATCAGAAAACGATTATTTATTTATTTATTTTTATGCGAAAAGCACCTGATGTTAAGTGAATACCGCCGCCCATGGACATCTGCTACACCCGAGGGTTACAGATGCGATGATAACCTTTTGAAAATTGGGCTCCGGCCACCTTACTCGCCAGAAGAAACGCGAAAGTATTATACTTCCACTTGACGCCGGCGCGCCCATTCGTGCAACAGCCGATTCTGCTGCGTGGCCCTATTGTAGCGATTCCTTGTCTTCAGGTACTACGGGATCTACGCGTGGACGGGCAGATGGCTGTACCAGATCTTCGGCATAATGAACTGGTGGCAGGTCTGCCTGTACCAGGTGTTGATATGGCTGTCCTCGTTCGTCTTCTACTGCGTCCAGTTCCCGGTCAACAGGCTCGTGCACGGGGAGGCCGAGGAGGCGGAGGAGGCGGACGCCGCCGGGCCCGGCCACGTGGCCGAGGAGGTGCTCACCAAGGAGGGGCCGCTGGAGGCGGACAAGGCCCCCCTCCCGCCCAAATCGTGGAGCCTCAAGTACAGGACGGGCCGGGGCCAATTCGAGAACTCCCATCTGTGAGCTCGGCCGGCTCGGGAATCCCCCTCGACGCGACGGGAGAACTGGTGATGGTCGGCCAGAAGCAATTGGTACCGCAAACTCTCCAGACAGATTGAGTAAGTTGCAGCATACATATAAACACTTTATATACGGAGTAGTTTCATAATCCAATTCGTTAACAACCAAAGATTGGATATAATTTTGTAAGTTTTGATTTTTTATACCGGTTTCCAATTTGTGCCGTATAAAATAATTCAATGGGGAATCTTGATCGTTGGATTGGGATTTTTTGATTATAGCAAGTTAACACTAATTGTAAAATAAAAAAAATATATTTTTTATGTCAATTATTAATTTACTACAAGGATGTCGGGCATTAATATTCTTTAAGCGCGAATTTAACGTAAAATATCTTTTATACTTTAACTATACTCTTATGTTGTAATTTCATTATCTGTTAAAAATATGGACCAATTATTCCTACATTTTATTATATTTTAAATGGAGACTGAAACATTGTAATGGCCTGGAAACGTTGAAACGAATATTCAATATTAATTTGGTGAATTCTTGATAGAAATATAATCTCTTTCTATTTCTTTATTGTATTGTATTTAATGAAATTTTATTGTACATATGGAGTCTGTCGCGTTAAGCCAATTGTAATTGTACGTTAAGCAGGTTGTACTTGAAAATAATGTTAAAGCGACGTGATGCGGCTTTGTTAAGGCGAAACTTGCCTCATTACACAATGTTCAATCTTTTAACAAATACGCTAACTAAAGGAATGTAGATGGAGCATCGTTTACTCCATGGAGATAGATATAATACGACGTGTTGAAAATGGCTGGTCTAACAATAACATTGACCTGACGTCTGTTAGAGTTCTATTTTGAAGTACAACCTACACAATATTATAATTATGATGAAATGGAAGTCAAGTTGTCTTCTACTGTTTTAGATTGCATTTATATATTTCTAGTTTTAATGACCACGTTAGATAGAATAATGAATTGTGCGGGAATGGATAGGAAATAAATTTAGCTATAAGACATTGAAACGTATCTTTGAGCGAAATTATTATGTGTTGGGTTTAACTTAAAAACACTACTTTAAAACATTATTAATAGCTCTTTGATCCTAGCGTATCCAGGTGAAAGTTTCTTATTGTTTAAATGGGAGCAATCGATAAATAGATCAAAAGGGAACATTATCATTACGATGTTCTGGGTTTGTCAAATTTCATTAAGTTCGTTGTAATATAAATATAAGATAAAGCAATTTGCGGTAGTTCATTGATTTTGGAAAATTTTTATGTAAGGGTAATCAAAAATATCACATGGCTTCAAGTAAACTAATTTTTTATTAATTACCTACCTGGCGATGTATAAACCGTGTCCATATATGGAATTTAATTAAAAACCGTAGACATTAACGAATTTAATACTATTTAAGAGCTAATTGACGTATCAGAGTTCCGTTGGTCGTTTTAGACCCATTGTCCTATTGTTGCCGTCGATATAAATTAATTGTCATTAGCCATAATCAACTATATCAGGTTTCCCTGACATAATCGATAAATATATAATCAACTATATCATGCCTTAAAAAGCAACGTTCATCACTCCGAATCCTGGTGTAAGATGAGATGTAAACTGGTTTTTATGATTAATTGTAAATAATAATATCAGTTTTATATTTTTTCTTCGATGGTTAATGAAAGGGTTCAATACTAGTTATATAAAACTATTTACTCTGTTACCGCTTAAAAATAAGCTATGTGAGACTCCACCTTTTGATATTTACCCTTTTTTTATATTGATTTTTTTTAACAATGCACGTATATTTTAATTTCTTGAAATCTATAAATGTGCTCTAAATGACTTAATAATTTATAAGAATTTTTTTATAATTAGGATGTAAATAAATATAATTGTACAAAGTTTTGTAGTTTCATTATGAGCTGTTAACATATTTTGGGTTTGGTGTTGGTGGTTATTAATTTGGTAAATATATATAAACCTGGTGACCACAGAATATGTTTACTCTAAGGAGGCTTCTGATATTATTTTATTTATAAGAATGTCTTTGATTAATGGCACTCAATATGATAAGTTAACAACGAAAAATTTAAATAACTTTTCTTCAAACATTAGCCATTCCAGCTGTAATAAATCAACGCTGTCGTGATTGAAGGTAATTAAAAAACAAATTGAAGAGATAAATTTTGTATTTCTTAAGGAAATTTAGAAATATTTCTTAAAAATATATCAATTACATTTAAGTTTAAACTTACTAGCTTGTTCAATATTTATAAAATTTACAAATTTAATAAAATTCATTGGACTGTCGAAGAAAAAGACTTTTTAGCCGCACACAATTGTTTGCCGTTCCTATATCAGGTTATGTCGGAAACTGAAGAATGTAGCAGTCAAAGCCTAAATATTTTTCATTCAATGTTGTGTATATCTTGTTTCTAGCAAGCTTGAGCTTATTTTGCTATCATTTCAAATATGTTTTCTTCGACAGTACAAGACTTCAGGTAACCTTTGAAAAATATGTGTTTTCCTTAAAAATACGGGTAACTAAGGAGTATTTTTTCTTCCTTAAATATTCATTACTTATTGGCAGTGGTGATGTGCATTCAATTAACTTCTTTGCAAATAATATTTATAATTAAGCAGCTTTTATTTACTAAATAAATATCTATCAACTAAATAGAATGGTCATTAAAATGAAGTTGTAAGATTTTCACGCTTTTGTAAAAAAATATTAAGAAAAATATTATTTATGGAATCAATCGTCGTATAAAATATCACACTATGTACAATTGCATTGTTTAAGCCTGCAAATTGCATTTCCCTATCATTACAACATTAAGTTATAAAATTTTCGTGACTCTTTCAAAGGTTACCTGCAGCAAATGCTTAGAAGAAACCCTGCAATTGCCTAAACACTAGTTGCCTTGGTGGCCTCGTCAACGCCGCCTCTTGGTAGCTGATTCGTTGTGGCTGGAGATAATAGGAGTTTGGTGTTCGTATGCTTACTCCCTGGACCTGAGGTCGTTTCCTCAGCTGAAAGTTACTCAACTCTGAGGCCGCGTACTGCGGGTCCGCTTGGAAGTTGTTCCTAAACCTGTTGTAAGGGTAGTCCCTATCCGGGGACACGACGAAACCACTAGGGACCCTGAGCTTCGACACGGGAGCCAATGCCTCGTTAAGTGCCACGTCGTAATCGTTTTCAATGGAATCCGCCAGGTTTTGTTTTATCGATATGTCTTCAGGAATCCTCAACGGCTTGCCGGTCGCCGTATACGGCTTGGAGATCTCCGGCTTGGGCTCAACTGTCTTGTAGCCAGTTCTCTTCTCGGTGTAGTCACGGGGCGTAGAAGTGGCTAGGTACGGCTTGAGGTAATCGCCGGGTGATAACGTAGACTGCAGTTTGTCTCTAATAGCTTCGTAGTTGTCGTTGAACACGCGAAGCACTTTAGTAGCCAGCACCTTAGCCTTTTGCTCCGTCGTTATAGCCTCAGTGCTTGTAGTTGTCGATGGAGTTGTAATAACGACCTCTGTTGTTGTCGTTTGCTTTTTGTCTTTGCCCTCGTATTCAATGTCTTCTTCGTCGTAATACTCGTATTCGTCATCAGGCTTCGAATGCCCTATCAACGTTGGTCTCTCCGTACCGATTGACGTGGTCAGTTTTTCAGTGGTTGTTGTTATCGTTTCTGTAGTTGTAATTCTGGGCGTGGTGGTCGGCGCAGTCGTTGTGGTCGTTGTAGAAGTAGTGGTGGTAGTTGGTTTAGGGGTGGTGTTGGGAGGTGAGCTTAGATCCTTACCAGCGACAGGTTGCAAGCCTCGTGGCAGGTAGGGACTACCACCCCTAGACGGTAAAAAAGGACGCTTAACAATACGTACATTTGGTCTGACTTCTCTTATCTTTTCAACAATATCCTCCTCTTTCAGTTTTACCTTTTCAGTGCTTGGACGTTTCTCTTCATCGTAGTAATAATCATCATCACTCACGATTGGCTTAGGAGGTCGTTCTTCTCTATGACGCTGAATATAAGGTGCCTTTTTTGCTGGCTGCTCGTACTCATAATCATCGTCCTCATAATCTATTGGTCTTTCTGGTTTTTTGTATTTCGAATTGGCAGGATTTGTCAATGATCTGGTTGGTTTAAATTTTTCCTTTTCAACTGGCTCCGGCTTAGGTCTTTGTTGGATAGCACTCGATTTTCCTGATGACGACGGTCTACTTACTTCTTCTTCTTCATAATCATCATAATATTCATCATCACCAGCTTTGGGTGGTGGCTTTGTGGTAGCTATAGGAACATAATCATATTTGTCCTTTTCGTTAGCTGGCACAGGACGTTTAATTTTAGGTGGCATACGTGGTTGGCTAAAAATGCCATGACCGCTAGGTTTCACTAATGGTTGTCCATCTGGTGCTGTTGGGGCTTGACGTTTTTCCTCTTGTATTTTATCCTCACTCTCATAAGTTCTCTCGGGTTTTAAAGTAGTTCTCTCCTCGCGTCTGTTGGGTCTTTCATCTCTATTATAAAGACGCCGACCCTCGGTTGAAGGGTAGCGGTTATCTCTATTCTTGGTACTGTCTCTTTTACTTTCTGGACCAGTAACATCCTCTCTATAAGGTCTCCTTTCGTCACGAGGTCTTATCTCATCTCTAGGTCTTATGTCATCTCTAAACCTCGATTCATCTCTGGGTCTTTTCTCATCTCTAGGTTTTATATCATCTCTAGGCCTAATTTCATCCCTTGGTCTAATGTCATCTCTTGAGCGTATATCGTCCCTAGGACGTATTTCATCCCGTGATCTGATTTCATCCCTCGGTCTCATTTCATCCCGATCCCGTTTTATTTCATCTCTTTGTTCATCTCTGCCCGATGGACTTTCATCGCGAGAATTAACATCACTTGCAGGCTTTACATCATCTCTTGTCCTGCCATCGTTACGAAATCTCGTGTCATCTCTAGATCGGTCTTCCCAAGTTGATTCTCCCTCATCTCTAAATTTTTCTTCATCTACGGGCTGCATAACATCCCTTGGTCTGTTTTTATCCCTTGGTCTGTATTCATCCCTCTTTTGATCCCTTGGCGCTGTTCGAGGTCTGTCATCATCGGTTTTATACTTTTCCTCATCAGTGTCCCTCGGTCTTGCGGGCCTTCTTCCTCCTTTGTAACTTGGTCGTCTTTCTTCTCTCCTACTGTCTTCATCATAGGGCCTTCTTTCCGGATAAGGCCTTTTGCCTGGCCTTCTATCATATGGTCTCCGTTCCTCAAAATAGTCTTCGCTTTCATCTCTTGGTCTCGACCGTGGTTCATACCTGAGAACACCAATAGCACGATACAATCACATTAACTTAAATAATTAGATGCATGGACGAAGTACATATTTTAATATTCTTTAATATTCTTGTATTACAAAATTGTGTCCATGAGCTATTAATTATGATGACGGTGTTTATTCATTCAAACATTTGTGGCACAGTTGCTCACGCATTTGTTGGGGGCCATGGGTTCCATTCCCACAAGGGTAGCTATTAATACCTACCAATATAGCCTACCCAATAATATAAACAATAAATATACATTTTGTGCTGGCCCTGGCACATGGAGGGAGAAAGAGACACTTACTTATCTTCATAGTCATCGTACGGCCTTCTTTTTCCTGGTCTCATAGGCCTTCCTTGTGGTCTTCGAGTTCTACCACCCCTGTAACGAGATAAGAAGCAAAATATATTTAAAATTGTCCTACCACCTATCCATGAAACGTTGTATTGGAGCAATAAAGATTAATTTCGCATGAGTTCATGTGCTCACTTGGATAAGTCGATACATTCGGCAATTCAATATGAATACCTGCAATATCTTTTGCACAGTAACAGGCCTTAAATATTTGTTTTATATGTAAAAAACGTGTTAAAGGAGTGGGCAGTTTACTTGATATTAATTGATTATCGCCACTGGTGGGGTTATAGATGCATTACCAATATTTAATAGAGACTTACTCACGAGACTAAATGCGAAAGCACAAAGAATTCCATCTTACATTGGTCTTCCATGACCACATTCTTGAAACGATACTGCACGTATTTGCAGTAATAGAATCTTCTGCGTTTCTCTATTAAACGTGAATTATATATTTCTATCTAGCCATTGAAAAACTTTCACGTGTATTAGTACCTAGGTACTAGGTACCTACGTAGTTTTGAATTGAAAATATACATCGCTTTAATGCTTCTAGACGAAACGCAAAATTATGTAATTATACTTCACGTCGGTCTTCTGTGAGATGATCGTAGTGTCATTTGACAGTTGTTTGTGCATTATAATTTTTTTACCCAAAAACCAGCTAGTCCAATTGTTTCAATCCTTTGCGTTCGAAGGTCGTGAAGGACGTCTAGTTAGTAGGGGAATCAAACTGTAAATCCTAGAATGAAATCCAGAGAACACCGAGAGGTTGGCTTGAAACTAGGCAGATTGGATTTTGAGTCGTCTTTGGAGTATTCTAACGGTACATTTCGAAAAATTGGAGCTAAGGTGAATAGGCGCCTTTATGCAGTGATCTTTTCACACCTGGGTTTTGGTGACATTGAAGCCCCAATGGCATCGCTTCATATAGCATGGCATGGCTGCCTGCATTGTGAGATTTACAAGTTGTACCATAGCCTCGGGCTGAATACTCAGTTAACAACAAATATGGTGTTATTTGCGTACCCGTAGACATCAGCAGCACGTAAATATGCAGCAAGAATAGAATTGTGAGAAAGACGGATTCTTTTTTACACTAAGTTGCTAGTTTTAATTTATGTAGCAAGAAATGGCTATCGATATTCTACATGAAATTAGCTCAGAGAGATCATACAAACTCTTACCTCTCCTCGTAAGCATAGTCGTAATCATCCCGGGCTGGGTAGTAATATTCGTCATCATCATAGTCATATCTGTAGTTCGGCCGTCTGCGTGGTGGTCTGGGTGGTCGCTGTGTGGTAGTTGTGGTGGTAGTTGTGGTAGTGGTAGGCGGCGGCGGTGGTGGGGCTGTCGATGCAGCTTTATACAGAGCTTCGTTTCTGAAAGGTCAATATGAAGAATAAATAATTGTTAATGCCATCCATTGTAAGAGCGGATTGGTTCTATACTGTACGTTTAAATAGCGCTTTAGCGCTTATCATATGATCTAATATTACTGATACTGATGGTAGCATTTCGATTAACATATATCTGATATAATTGCTTCGGTAAAGGTACAGACGTGTTTATTGCTATTCACTGATGTCTTCTAGGTTGAAGACAGGTTTATTTTAAAACGGGGAGCTAGTACAGAATTTGGAAATACCACAAAAATTGTCATAAAAACAACACTACCTGTTAAAATAGTTTGGCGAGTTTTTACAGTCGACTTCTGACACGAAGTGACAAATGAACGTCTTCTGGTCGAAGGCGGTGTAATTCGCGCAAAGGAAATCGTATCTCGTTCCGAATAGACAATGGTGGTACACCTGGAAAACATTAATGAAAAATATCAGACCATGTCGTCTTAGATATACAGAAGAGTCACTGATTTTAAACCTTAAATGCCAGCTTAAAAAAAATTTTACTTGTTTGGCCATGATTGTGTTCCGATTGAAATAAAAAGGTTTTTTCTCTGACATGAATCCAATGTTCTATTTTAGCGTTCATGTTATCTCCATTCAAAAATTGATTCGAATTAGGTCTGTGTTGAGTCGGAAATATTTTCATAACCCATTACATTTACTACCCAATACAATACACCTTTCCTATGGTATAGCACAACCCAAATTTCGCATTTACCATATTACAACGGTTAGAAATTCTTCAATACCCAAATTCCGCCTTTAATTTCACGTACTCGAGCAACCTGAGTTCAATCCCCGGCGCCGGCACCAATGAAATTGTTAATTTTAAGTGCTGAATTATCATGTGGCTCAGTGGTGACGGAAAACATCGTGAGGAAATCAGCATATTTTCAAAATAATTAACAAATAAAAATATTTCGAATTCCGCCAATCCGCAGGGGGCATGGTGGACTATGCCCTGATACCCTCTGTACAGAGAAGGCCTTTGCCCAGCAATGAGATATATATATGCTGATACTTTAAACCTAATTCTTAGTCTTTTGTAGAATACTGCAAAGGTGAAAGGTGAAATTGGCAAGGGAAACAAAAAAAAGTTTCATCACTAAACCTCTAACCTGACATTTGTGAGGTACAGAAGCGTAGAACCCATCATGCAGGCCATCGCACTTGAAGTCCATCGTCTCCGGCGGTGGCACGGCTTCGTAGAAGGGGTACTCGGACAGATTGTACCCGTTGAGTTCCCGGGGAAGATTAGGGTCATGGATGTAGTCTATTTGCGGTATCCCGGAGAGTTTCTTGGTGGCGTTTTGAGCGCCCTCTGCGCCCTCCGCTGTAGTCTCCGCCTGTAATTTTACAAATGTTCCCTTCTCAAATACAACATGTTTTTATTTCCAATAGGTTTTACATTACAATTAACAGAATATTATTTTGAGTTCTTACTATAAATGAAACACATTTTACGGATTTATCGCGTTTATTTTTAATTTTAATTCCTGACGTTTCGAACCCTTTTCAGCGTTCATGGTCACGGGACAGACTGAGGTGTTAGAAATCTGATTGTCATAGTTAACCCGGGCTACCGTCAGTTTTTGAATTATTTATTTTGTGTCCGATCTATGCAGAGGGAGCTAATTGTATCTTGTCTTGCAGTAGTGGTTCGTTTGGGTCTAGATTTAATTTTATTGAAATTTTTTTCTGCAAATTTTTAAGGAGGCAATCTCCTTAAAGATTATTTATAGACAGGTATTCGAATTCAAGGTCACTGGGACATTGAGTGCGGATAGCAAGCCTGTTTGATTAATAGTCGCGCAACTAGTAATTGCATTAATAAGGAATGGAATTTCAGATATACTATGTGGATTTGAAAGTGAGTCACCTTGCAACGTCTTAATGGAAATCTGAGTAAAGTCTGTTTCCTGTATGGAAAAATATGACGCAGTAAAATTTGTACTTAACAGAGCGTTTATTGTAAAAAGAGTTAATAATTATGAATGAATAAAACTAAATAATGACTTAATTCTTTGAAGCAAAACTCTGTGTTAACTGAAACATCGATGCCAATGCGGTCAAGTCCGTTTTGTACTCGTCAAATTACTACTTTATAACATTAGGTTTCTACATTTATTCCATGGAAGTATTATAAATTCAGTTCACATGATTTATGAAAAGTTCGCTGATTTTTAATTCCAAAGGCCTCATGATTATAATGCCACTGTAGTTTATCGAAAGCTGTGAAAATCATTCATTTTTATGCATTCAAAATCGTTTCTGAAGACCTAATATTGTAGAAGACCTTTATCATCGCAAATATCTTATAGATCTTGGAATATATCAACGTACATCTTTATGTAATTAACGCAATACACGCTACGGTCTACCAGAGATTTCTACACAGGTAACCAGGAAATGGGAATAGAACTATGCAGTTTATTGCACCTGCACAGGCGACCGGCGCAAAATCGAAAATCAAATTTTTCTAGTGACATCTGCGCTGGCAAACCTGGTAACTCAGGTAACCTCTCCGGTAGATGGTAGCGTGTGTGACGTAAATAATAAAGGCATGCGAACAAGAACAGTACCTGGGCTTCATCTTCCCCCTCTGACACTTCCTCATCTGGTGCACCAGTTGTGCTGCTAGTCTTTGAGAAGATCAGCGATGTTGCCCGCACCGCGGACGCAGTGGGCAACTCTAGAGAGAGCACGGCGAGAACAAGACCTGGAAAAGTGCCAACAAATGAAACACAAGATTCAAGAATATCATGCAACATAAATTCAAACAACAAACAAATTATACTATTAAAAGAATACCCATTCATAAATCACTACATAGTTTAAAACAGAGTCGTCCCGCTGTCTGTTTGTCCCTATGTATGCTTAGATCTTTAAAACTACGCAACGGATCTTGATGCTGTTTTTTACTAGATACGAGTGATTCAAGATGAAGGTTTATATGTATAATACATTGCACCCGAGCGAGGCCGGGGCAGGTCGCTAGTCATTTAATGAAACTATCTCTTGCAACACAGTGCTGGAGACAATTGGGGCATCTTAGCTTATGATCGTTTAAGTATCTATCTTAACGGATATGACGGCATTTTCGTATTTCATTCGGCAGCTCAGTATTTTATTTTATTTTATTTTATTTTATTTTAATTTATTCGGAAAACTTACAGCTATTAACAAAGATAATTGAGTGATATTAAATACTAAAGAAGCCATTTATAAGTTTTCACATTTAGAAATCTTAAATTACAGTTACTATAGAAAATAAATAAATACAAGGAATAAAAAAAAAGACACGTCAGTACAATGGCATGAACATAATTATGGTAAAAATAACAGTAAAGCTAAAATATATATATATATTTTATGTGACAAAGTGGTCTTTAGTAAGAAGTGCCTTGGCCACCGCTGGTGAGGTATGAAATGGTTCAATATTTGTTTGGTTGTTTATAAATTTTGCTGTCCTTATCATAAAGTGGTTACTTCTATAATTTGTACGAGTTTTTGGAGTGTGGAAGGATTTACGTTTTCTTTTATTCGGCAATGGAACATTTAACAAGATTTCAGATAATAACTCAGGTGAGTCTATTGATCCGTTAACAATTTTTAAATACAAGCAAACGTCGTTGATATTTCGTCGAACATGTAATGGAACAAAATGGTACCGGCTACATCTATCATTGTAGTCTCTAGACTTTATATATGCTTTATGATCAAGATATCTTAAAAATCTTTTTTGAATACCCTCAATACGTGATTTATAGGTCTTATATTGAGGACTCCAAACCTGTGAGGCATATTCAAGCGTAGGTCTAACATAGGAGCAGTACAGAATTTTGATAGGTTTTAGGTCGTGAAAAACAGACGTGCTACGGATGATGAAACCCAAGGCTTTATACGCCTTCGATACTACATAATCTATATGTTTATCATAAATAAGTTTATGATCTTGGGTAACTCCAAGATCTAGTGCCGTATACACCCTGTGGATGTCTGTATCTTTCAGCAGATATCTGCCTTCGATAGTGGTATTTTTCCTTGTAAACGACATAAGAAAACACTTCTGTACATTTAACTCCATCTTGTTCCGTTTACAATATGATTCGAATCTAATTAGGTCAGATTGCAGTAACTTTTGATCTTGCAAATTTCTTATAACATTTAGCACTTTCATGTCATCCGCATAGAGTAGTATTTTGGAGTGTTTGAAACATTTTTCTATGTCGTTCACAAATATTACAAAGAGCAGCGGTCCCAAAAGGGAGCCTCGAGGTACACCTGAAAGGATGGGTAGCCAGGCGGACATAAAACCGTTGAAGACAATTGCTTGAGACCTGTTTTCAATATACGAGGCAAACCACCTTAAGAGGTCCCCGTGTATTCCTGCTATCGCTAACTTATTCAACAGAATTTTATGGTCTATCCTATCAAAGCACTTGCTGTAATCTGTATAGATACAATCTACTTGGTGACCATCATCCATACCCTTCGTGATGTAATCGTGCGTAATAATTAGGTTAGAAACTGTCGATCTCCTCTTCAAAAACCCATGTTGTGCTATGCTTAGCCTAGGTGAAATATAAAAGTAAACTTGATTATGTACTATCTTTTCAAATACTTTCGCGAATAAGCATAGTTTTGATATAGGACGATAATTATCTTTTTTTTTTTTTATGCGAAAAGTTGTCAAACGAGCAGACGGGTCACCTGATGGTAAGTGAATACCGCCGCCCATGGACATCTGCTACACCCGAGTGTTACAGATGTGTTGACAACCTTTTGAAAATTGGGCTCCAAATATTTTATTATTATTCCCTTTTTTAAGTATATATAGTCCTCCTCATCGATTTCGATGACGGCGACCCTAGCAATTACGGATTTGCCCTATTGTGAGCTCTGATATGGCTGGCTAGGCCAAACTTAGTCTTGAAAACTCTTTTACACGGGGAACAGTAGAGTTGGCCATTCGTGTTATAGGTGTACACGTAGGAAGGTTTAGGCCTCTCCTTTCGCAATTGGCGTTTTGTTTTGTCTAGGGTTGTTAAGCGGTTTTGTTTTAGAAGAGTTTAACCTTACTAAAGATGGTAGATCGCCAAGACGATCTGACTGCTGCTAGCTCCTCCCAACACAAAGGATCAATAGCGCATGCGTTCAGATGTCGTTTGAGCACGTCCTTATAGCGTAAATACTGACCACCATGCTTCCGCTTACCCTCGGCTAATTCTGAATAGAACACGGCTTTAGGCAAGCGGTGGTCGTTCATTCTACGGACATGCCCACTCCACCTGAGCTGACGTTGCATTAGGAGAGCTTCCATGCCGTACATTCCGGAGCGACGCAGAACCTCAGAGTTAGGAACTCGGTCCTGCCACTTGATCTTCAGAATGTATCTCAGACACCTAAGATGGTAAGTGTCTAGCTTTTTAATGTCTGTTTTGTAGAGGCACCATGTCTCTGCTCCGTATAAAAGGACAGGGATGATTAGAGCTTTGTAGACGTTGATCTTTGTCTCTAACTTGAGATCATGGGTCTTCTAGACACGGTCATTGAGTCGCCCGAAATTGGCTGCTGCGTTGGCGATGCGTGATGGTATTTCCGAAGCCAAGGTGTTATCGTTTCGGATAGTGCTTCCAAGGTACTTAAAGTAACAGACTTCGTCTAATGGTTTCCCATTTAGATTCAGCTCTGTTGGATCGCTTTCAATTCCTCTCGGCGGTTGTTTGAGGATCTGAGTTTTAGAAGCACTTATAACCAGGCCGAATTGTTGGCAAGATCGGTTTAGCGCGTCAACGTAGCTCTGGAGATTTACAATATTATCAGACATGAGGCATACGTCATCAGCATAAAGTATCTCTAGAATAGAGATCTTCTGCACCTTGGACTTCGCTCTGAACCTTGATATATTTAAAAACACCTCTTCCAGTTCTGAAGCTCAACTGAATCCGGTTACTGCAGCGCTGTAAAGCGTCTCTCATGACTACCGAAAAGTATATGGCAAAGAGTGTCGGTGCCATGACACAACCCTGCTTGACCCCGCTCGTAATCTGGATTTCCTCAGAGAGTTCGCTTTCGTGTTGAATCTGTGCTTTCATACCTACGTGAAATTGGCGAATCAGGTTTACAAACTTCTTTGGATATCCAGATTTTTTAAGGACAAGCCAGAGTGCCTCACGCGGGACTCTATCAAATGCTTTTTCCAGGTCTACAAAGCACATGTAGAGTGGCCGTTGGTGTTCTAGGCTTTTTTCTTGTAATTGCCTTACAACCGCTATAGCGTCAATGGTTGGACATTGGCTTTCTGGGAGCAGTTGTTCGGCTAATTTGGATAAGCGCGCGTTGATTATGTGTGTAAAAATTTTACCGGCACTAGAGAGGAGCGATATACCTCGGTAAGAGCTGCAATCGGAAACATCTCCCTTCCCTTTGTACAGCTTACAAATTACCGCGTCTCTCCAGCCCTGAGGCACCTCTTCAGTATCCCATACTCTTAAGGCAAGATGGTACAGCCTGTTAACAATGTTTTGCCCACTGTATTTGTATATTTCGGCTGGAAGTTGGTCCATTCCAGGTACCTTTGAGTTCTTAAGCCGCTTAATTGCCCCAACAAACTCTTCGAAGGTCGGTGGGTCATCTAGAGTTTGACAGACTGGTAGTTGTTCGAGCGAGTTTATGTAAGATAGATTTGCACTGAGCGCTGTGGGATTCAAAACGTCACTGAAATGCTCCCGCCAACGCTTTAATAAGGCATTTTTGTCTGTAACTCGGTTTTGTCTATCTTTAGAGTACATGGGGGCTGTTTTCCTGACTCGTGGGCCAAAAATGGCTTGAATGCCTTCGAAAAACTTACCAGTCTGATGAGTATCAGCGCAGTGCTGTAATTCAGCAGCTTTCTCCTTCCACCAATTATCTTTCAGTTCGCGAACCTTAGCTCTGAGACTGTGATGAGCCTCTTTTGAGTTACGGGTATCCACAGACTTAGAGTTTAATTCGTGTCTGTGCCTTTCAACAAGCTCTCGGATTGTGTTATTTGATGCATCAAACCAATCTTGATTTCTTTTTGTGGTTTGCCAATTGTATCTGAGGCGCAGACATGCAGGCTTTTTGCAAAATATAGCCACTCGTCGTCAGTTGTGGAAAACTCTGTCTGCGATGCGCAAGAGGCAAAAACTGAGTCCAGTGTATTGCCTAGCTCTCGAGAGGTAATGAGATTAGAGAAGGCCACTTTTGATGGGATTTTAGGCTGTGCTCGTCGTGAAGCCTTAAGCATTAGTTGCATCTTCGATCTGATGAGACGGTGGTCAGTCCAGCCCAGCGCCCCACGCATCGCTCTCGTTATGAGAACGTCACGCAGGTCTTTGCGGCGGACGATGACGTAGTCTAGAAGATGCCAATGCTTAGACCTAGGGTGCATCCACGAGGTCTTATGTTTATCGGCAAGGCGGAAGAAAGTGTTAGTGATCCCGAGATTGAATTCAGCACACAATGATAAAAGTCGTGATTCATTGTCGTTACACTTTCCAACACCATGTTTACCGAGGACACCATTCCAAAGATCGTAGTCAGTGCCAACGCGTGCGTTAAAATCTCCTAATAAAATAACCTTGTCGTGCGTTGGAATGCCTTCAAGGATTTTGCGTAATTGTTGGTAGAATGCCTCTTTATCCTCATCCGATGATGGCAGAGTAGGCGCGTAAGCACTAATCAGGTGGACGT